GTTAGCCTTGATTTAACTGAGAATTTGTGTAGCGCTGTTAACCGCCATTCTTCTCATTGTTCTTCGTCCTTTACTGCTTTTCGCCGTGTAAACATGGACTCTTTAAAAAACCTGTGCTCAGAGCGCCGACAAAATCTTGTTTACTTGATCCTGTTCCCACTAACATCTTGAAAGATTCAACTACGATAAACTTGTCGCTTGAGTCAGGATTTTTCCCTAAGACTGACAGATCGCACTGGTTCCAAGAGCCCCCGTACTGAAAAAGCTGACCGTATATGTTCGCATCTCGCATCATTCTCATAAATTAAATGAAGAACAGCTGTCATCAAGCCCTTAGGAAGTACAGAAGAGTATTTTTCAGGAAATGCCTCTCTATTCCCTAAAAACATAGTTCAGCTGATAGTTTAGCACAGTTTGATGACCGTCGGGTACGTTGGTTACGATATATGACTTCATAAGCGATATGCACTTATTCAAATATCAATAATCAATAACTTCACTTCGATATACAGTTATACGAATTTTCAGCAAAGTCTACGATAGCAGCAATTTTAAGTGACGTCAAAGAGCCCAGCCCTTCTCCCTTCCTTTAAAACGATGGAGAATAGAACTGCAGGTACTTGAAGAACCAAGAATAGAGACAAAAGTAATAGGTAAAAAAAGAATAATGTCAGATTTCAAAATCAATCACGATGATTGTAGTTTCCTTCCTTCTGAAATAGAACACACAGTTAGTGAGTGTTGCCACATTTTGAGATCACAATCGAGATGTGCAAAGCAGTTCCTTAATATCAACGACTAAGAGACGGAACTGGGTGTACAGCTCGAACTGTGAGCCTGAGTGTTTATTACCGTCCGAATATGTTAGTACAAAGTTCAACATCTTAAATGATGAATGATATAGAAACACTCCTAAACAAAAGTCACTCAGGCTACATTCACGTGCCCCGCCTGATACTTAAAACCAAAAACCCCATGGGAAAAATTGGGAACGTATTCCTCAAACAATGCAGTCGCACAACCTCTGGGGGTTAAAGGTAAAAAAATCAATCAATAGATAAATCAAGTAAATATAAAAAGAGAGCTGAGATAAATGCATTACAACTGTCAAAACCTTATATTAACCTAACAACAGTAGAGTCAATAAATCGCCATAATAACTCACGTGTGTTTATACCAATAGGAAAGTATTTACATTCTCTGTCAACAAGGGCCTTTAAGAGCAAAATTTCTTGCCACAAACATACGTCATGTTTTCGTAGCACGAACTATCCTTCTGTGTTCCGTTCAATGCAGAACCAGTTCAGTAAAACTTTAAACACCGTTAGAGTTATCTGGTTCACCATCGCCCCAGTTTCTCGGAAGTCCATCATGGAACCATCTACCTACTCATAGCTATGATGTGTACTTCTTAAGTTGAACAGTCAGATCCAGGCAGACGAAATCGAAGTCGCCGAGATCTCTTGGCGTACAAGGTTATTCTCCTCTGTACTATGAATTGAGATGAGGTTACTGCCGTGTATTTAAGGTGAATAAAAAGTTTATATGGGTGAACATAAGGTGAATAAGGGTGTATATAACGAGCATATAAGGTGGTTATGGATTTATATAAGGTGTGTACGAGGTGTATATAATGTGTATACGAGTGTATATACGGTGTATCTGGAGATATATGAAGTGTATATAAGTTGTCTATGGGTCTATATTAGGTGTATATGGGTGTATATAAGGTGTTAACACGGTGTATATAAGTGTATATAAAGGGTAAATGGGTTGTGTATAAGCTATATATGGATGGATATAAGGTGATATGGGTGTATAAGGGTGTATATGGGTGTATATAAGGTGCATATGGATGCATATAAGGTAGATGTGGGTGTATATAAGGTGTATATAAGATGTATATGGATATATTGGTGTGTATAAGGTGGATGTGGGTGTATATAAGGTGGATGTAGGTGTATATGGATGTATATAAGGTTTATATAAGGTGTATATGGATGTATTTATGGTAGATGAGTTTGTATATGGGTGTATACAAGGTGCATATAAGGCGTATATCGGTGTATATAAGGTGGATATGGTTGTATAGAAGGTGGATATGGGTGTGTATATAAGGTGGATGTGGGTGCATATGAGGTCGATGTGGGTGTATACAAGGTGTATATTCGTATATAAGGGTGTATATGGGTATATATAACGTGTATATAAGGTGTATATGGGTGTATGTAAGGTGTATATGGGTGTATATAAAGTGTATATGGGTGTATATAAGGTTTATTTGGGTTTATTTAAGGTGTATCTAAGGTGCATATAGGTCTATATGAGGTGTATATAAGGTGTATATGGATGTATATAAGGTAGATGTGGGTGTACATATATAAGGTGCATTTGTGTGTATACAAGGTGTATATAAGGCGTATATGGTTGTATACAAGGTAATTGTGGTTGTATATAAGGTGCATATAAGGCGTATATGGGTGTATATAAGAAGGATGTGGGTGCATGTAAGGTGTATATTGGTGTATAATTGTGTATATGGGTGTATATAACGTGTATATAAGTTGTATATGGGTGTACAAAAAGTGTATATAGGTGTATATAAGGTTTATATATGGTGTATATAAGGTGGATGAGGGTGTATATAAGGTGTATATATGATATATAGGGAGGATGTGGGTGTATATAAGGTGTATATAGGTGTACATAAGCTGTATATTGCTGGATATAAGGTGTATATAAAGTTGATGTGGGTGTATATAAGGTTTATATATATCTAGCCGAATTTTTGAAAACATACCTCAAAATGGACCAGAATATTCGCACAGAAAGCTGGCGATAGCCAGCTTTCTGGTCATTGCGGTGAGAAAAAACATAGGGGGCTTGCTGTCCTGGTTGGTCTCATTGGCAAGTTCAGTCCCTGAGCTAACTCGCCATGGGTTGGAAAGGGGCCTCCATGTCAATCCCTAGGGGGGGAGGGTGCTGCAAAAGCGTTGTACCTTCCGTTAGTCCTGGTCTGGGAGAGTCAGTTCACTGGTCATGTCTGCCTTTAGTTTGTCATGTCAAATTCTTGTAACGTTTGAGGCCCATTGGCCAATGAAAGCATTCCCCTCAAGCACGTGCTAGGCTGGTTGGGGTGTAGGAAGTCAGGGGGGTGATTTAACCTTGAATTCTCTGCTTAGAACGTGCTTAAGTCTCAAGCGTCCTCCGTCATTCAGGGCCTTTAAGCAGCTAGAGTGTGTGGACAAGTCCAGAGTGTCTTTTTGATGGACTTGAATGTTTCTTTTGCTAATCAGGAACCAAGAATAGAGTCACCTTAAGAGAACCATGGGTAAGAGCTGAGTTTCTTGGCGATATTTACTTTAGTTGAGTCAGTTTAAGGTGTGTGGGCTCCTGGTGTCCGATGGTACGGTTTTCATAAATCCGGCTAGATATATATTCGTTTATATAAGATGCATATGGGTGTATATAAGGTGTATAACATATATATGGGTGTATGTAACGTGTATATGGGTGTATATAAGGTTTATATGGGTTTATTTAAGGTGTATCTAAGGTGCATATAGGTCTATATGAGGTGTACATAAGGTGTATATAAGGTGCATATAGGTGTATGTAAGGTATATATGGGTGTATAAGGGTGTATGTAAGGTGTATATGGGTGTATATAAGGTGGATATAAGGTGAATGTGGGTGTATATAAGGTGTATCTATGGTGTATTTAAGTTGAATATGGGTTTATACATGGTGTATATTAGGTGTATATTAGATGCATATAAGGTTGATGTGGGTGTATATAAGGTTTATATATATTCGTTTATATAAGGCGTATATGGGTGTGTTTAAGGTGTATATAAGATATATATGGGTGTATATGAATTGTATATGCGTGTCTATAAGGTTTTCATGGGTCTATACAAGGTGTATATGGGTGTATATAAGGTATATATGGGTGTATAAGGGTGTATATGGGTGTATATAAGGTTTATATGGGCTTATATGAGGTGTATCTGGGTGTATATAAGGTGTATATAAGGTGGATGTGGGTGAACATAAGGTGTACATGGGTGTAAATAAGCTGTATATTGCTGGATATAAGGTGTGTGTAAGGGTGTATATGGGTGTATATAAGGTTCATATGGGCTTATATGAGGTGTATCTGGGTGTATGTAAGGTTTATATAAGGTGTATATAAGGTGGACTGTGGGTGTATCTAAGGTTTATATGGGCTTATATAAGGTGTATGTGGGCTTATTTGAGGTGTATGTGAGTGTATATAAAGTGTATATGGCTGTATATAAGGTGGATGTGGGTGTAAATAAGCTGTAGGTGTGTATATATAAGGTGTATATAAGCTATAATTGGGTGTATGTAAGGTGGATGTGGGTGTATGTAAGGTTTATATGGGTGCATATAAGGTGTACATAAGGTCTATGTGGGTGTATATAAGGTGTACCTAAGGTCTATATGGGCGTATATAAGCAAGGTGCAAAGAAAGTCATTTTTACAGCTTGCCATTTATCATTTCAACTACCCCAAAAACGTTTTGATGAGCATATTGATTTCAAAGTTCTTTTGTAAATTGAATTCCTCAAAGAACATCACAGAATTCACATAACAGAATTCACTAGCCCGATAGAAAAATCCACTAGCCCCGGCTATCGTAACCTACTTTCTTTGCACGCTGATAAGGTGTATTAGGGTGTATATAATGTGAAGGTGTTTATGAAATAACTGAAATAACTGGCTATTGATCTGCAAACAACGATTTTAGAAAGGCCTAAAAATAGAACAGTTTACTTACCCAGCCCGTCTTAATATTAAAAAGCGTTGCTTTCCACATTTTATTACTGAGCGTCACAATTCGCTACTGCCATAGCTTTAAAAGTTATAAAGTACACTGAAGTTTGAAAGCAGGTTACATTTTACGACGATGGCAAATCACAGAGAAAGACAGCAACTGTGTGAATTTCTGGTGTACAAAGTCTTTAGTAAAACTT